CGCAACCCATGTGTTTTAAGGGAACCAGTAAACAGCATCCTAGGTGTCGTACTGTCCTCCTCTGCGAACTGGAGGTGACAGCGCCTCTCAGAGTCTGGGGATGACACCAAGTGTCAAGCAGCACACCCACCCCTTGCTCTGGGCTCTGCAGGCACTGAGGCCTTTGATGGCCCCTCCCCTCCCAGGAGGGAGGAGAGCAGGCATGGGAGTCTGGAAGGTCCTGCTTGAAATCTCACTTCCACCTGGGTCAAGCACTTCACACTGAGGCTTCATCTCCCGACTGTGGGAGAGCTCTGAAGTGCTAGGAACAGCCTCACACCAGGTTCCAATCAAAATTAGTCAGGCAAAGTTGCTTTCTGGGGACATGAGCACTGACCAGAGCCTGTGTGTGTGTGTGTGTGTGTGTGTGTGTGTGTGTGTGTGTGTGTGTGTGTGGTGTCTGTGTGTCTGTGGGGAGGAGAGAGGGTGTGAGCAAAGCCTAGAGATGGGGCCTGGGGACCTGAGGCTGTGGCTGGGGACTCCCTGCTGGGAGAAGAGTGTGACCCAATGACTTGGTGTGTCATTAGCATTCCAGTGCTGCCTACTACCCTGTCAGAAGCCTGGTGGCTTGAAACAGCCCTCGCTTGTTGGTGGTGGCTGCTGCAGGGCACAGTCTGGAGGATTTCACTGGAATCTCCATCCCTGGCCTAAGGAGGTTGGAATGCGGCCACTGGCCAGGTTGCGTTCTCATGGGGAGGTTCAGATGGGGGGACTTTTGTTTCCTATCTCCCTTGGGTCCTTGGGAGGATTTTCTTTGCAATTCTGGAGCTGGGCTTTCTCCATGTTCTCTCGGTCCCCTGACCAGTCTCAGTTCCTGGAAGCAGCCTGTAGGTAGACGGTCACATGCCACCCCTCCAACCACTCGACACAGCTGCTTCTTACGTCTCCCTCTTCCAGAAGCACGCTGACCCGATCGAGTCAGGCCTCCCCAGGCCGAGAGCTCTCCTTCCATTCCTTCACACTTGGGTTATGTCAGGAAATCCTTTCACCTTCGCCCAGATGTGCCCTAACCATGTCGACTACAGGACATCGCAGACCCGGGTTCCACTTGCCTTACAGGAAGATGATTCAGCCAGGCTCCTGCACACAGGCTGCTGGGGAGCTGCCATGATTCTGTGCGGCAGTGAGAAAGCTCACGTCTGGCTGTGATTCTGAGCTTTGCCACCTGTCCTGTTCCAGTCCTACTGCTGGCAAGGCTAGAGGTGCAAAGGTGGCCTACAGGGAGTTTCATACAGACCCTGCTGGGAGGAGACGGTAGAAAGTCTAAAGAAGCAGTGGCACATTTCCACAGTCTACCAGAAAGTTCTAGAAGGAGGAAGCTGGGCACAGGTGAACATCCCTGAGTCTCTCACCAATGGAGGAAGAGAGGAGATCATTGCTCCAGAGGCTCTACCAAGCACCAAAACGCTTTGGATTCCATGTCTCATGAAGGCACAGAGGCTGCCCTTGATCCATCTAAGGTCACAGCCCCAGGAAGTTGAGGAGGAAGTTGGAGTTCAGACAGAGCTACTGTGCCTCCCAATCAGCTGATCTGCCCAGAAGGGCACCATCCCAGCCATGCCCTGCCTCAGTCAAAATCATTGCTTTCTATTTGCAGTGACATTTTGTTTTTTCTGACTGAGAGATGACAAATTACAAGGCTGACTTTCAAAATGTGATTCTCGGTGCTAGGATCTGTATTATGAGGATGGTCCACTGGGTCCCAACCTCTGGATGTCCTCCTGAGAATGACCTTTGGTTTGTTCCCAGGATCTCTGCAGAACATGATTGGGTCCTGTAGCTGGAGTTTTCTCTAGTCCTGCTTGGGCCACAGCTACTCACATCTTCAGATCCCAAATAGGGCCCAGATGTCAGCCCTGACAGACCAGAAGCCATGCCTTGTTCGTGGACCACATTGCCAGGCCTGGAGATGCTCTCAGATAGTCCATGATACTCGCTAAATATTTGTTCAAAGGATGAGGGAATAAACCCTTGACTCAAGGGAAACTTAACTCTAATATCAAAGCCAACTCATCTCTTTGAAAGTACATTCGCACAAAGCATCACCGGAGCCCAGGGATGATTCTCCCTGCTTCCATCAACGGTCTGCTTCTATGCCTGGGCCGTGAAGGTGAAATGACTCACATTTACAATCATAGCTAAGAACATCCGTGCACATGACTCCTGAAAGTCTGAGAGTGAATTAACCCACAACCACTGCAATCAACCCACAGGTGAGGAGCGGCAAAGACTTGCCTGGTTTTCTATCCCCCACACATGGGGGTGCTGGGCCTGTGCTGGCTCTGGAGCCTGTGTGATTTGTGCGGTAGCCCTGGTGGAGCAGGCTCATGGGAGGGAGTTCTCCTTCAGGCAATGATGGTGCTGATTACCAGCTCACCTTCATGCTCATGCAGGAAGCTCTGATTGCAGCCAGAGAGTGACTATAGGCTGAGCTTCCTCCCCTGCTGTAAGGGGATGGAGGATGTCTGATGGCATTCGCCACAGCATCCCTTCTGATTAATCAGGCTGCTCCAATCTGTGAGGGAGAGTAGCTCCAGGAAGGAAATCTGCCTGGAACAGTCATTCTGTGTTTCATGCCTGTGCAGGTGAACTCAAAGCAGAGGCAGGGGTCCCGGGGAAGGCTCTTGGGATGGTGAGAACAAAAGTAACAAATGGACACCCAAGGGATTTTACTTCCCCAGGGATTCTCAGGAGTCAGGAAACCCAGGGACCAGCCTTTGTGCTTTTCTTTTGAGGGAGGTCTTTTTGAGACAAAAATCTTACTAGCTAGCCCAGGCCATTTTCCAACTTGTAATCCTCCTGCCTCCATGACTTAAGTGTTGTGATGACAGTTCTGTACCATCACATTTGGCATCAAGGTGATTTTCTGGAAGGACAAACATCTAACCTTTGAGCTCTCTTATGTCCCTGTTGGACACTGTTTCTACTCTATTAGCTTGTGAAATTAGGTGAGCTTTGAGTACTTTATGACCTTTGATTTGTTTCCAGGATCTCTGCAGAACATGATTGGGTTCTGTAGCTGGAGTTTGCTCCAGTCCTGCTCGGGCAGCAGCTGCTCAGACCCAGGTAAACACACAGAGACTTATATTACTTAAAAACTGTATGGCCGTGGCAGGCTTCTTGCTATCTAGTTCTTATATCTTAAATTAATCCATTTCTATTAATCTATAAGTTGCCATGTGGCTTGTGGCTTACCAGTACTTTACATCTTATTTCTCATGGCAGCAGCGGCTGGCAGCGTCTCCTGACTCAGCCTTCCACTTTCCAGAATTCTCCTCTCTGCTTTGTCCCACCTATACTATATACTTCCTGCCTGGCTACTGGCCAATCAGCATTTTATTTATCAATCAATCAAAGCAACAGATTCACAGCATACAGAGCAACATCACCCATCAGGATCCCTTAGTGGGTTTTAGATGAATGGCATCATCTTCCCTCATTGGGCAAACCCAACCAATAGTAACAAAGGGCAGTGTGGTCTTACTGAGATGTGAGTGTGATCCCAGATTCATGAGTTGGAAATGTGATTAGTCCACACAATGGTGGGAGGGGCAACTATGGGAAGGTGCCTAGGTTATGAAGGGCACACCTCTCTTTGTAGATGGGTTCATGCCCACTATAAAGGGATTTGAAGTCACAAGACAGATCATTGGCTACCTCTCACTATATGATGCCCTGTGCCATATTCCAGTGCAGCAAGTGGGGCCTTACCAAATGTAACCCTCCATCACAGGTTTGCTGACCTCCATGTGCTTAAGAGATGGACCTCTGTTCCTCATACATTACCTAGTCTGCAGTGTTCTGTCATAGAAGACTGTCTTCAAAATGTTGCAAACATTTGTATGGGAAATCTTACAGGGACACTCTAGGCAACCAGCAACGAACTCATTAGCTTTAACAAAAATACTGGAGTTGCACGAAGAATCCCATCATCCAGGTCATGCAGAAATGAAAAGTTCTGGTGTTGTGGCCTTTGAAGAGGAGCAGAATCTGAACAGAGCCAGAAGTTGGGCTTTTGCAGGGAGAAGCTGCCATTGGCTGCCAGGAAGAGGGCGCAAACTGGGCTAGACTACTGCCCACTCTGGACACTAGGCTCCAGTTGCATCTTTTCCCCACTGCCTCCCAGCTTCACGGCATTGCATTGGTACCTTCTGCCCTTTTAGATTGCATTTACCCTTCCTTCATTGACCTTGACCTCAGCCCTCCTCTTGAGGTAACACTGCCTCTGTCCTTTGGGGGCTCTCCCTGCCACTCTGGACCAAATCACTAATATACCGGCTCTTTCTGGAAAAATATTTTAAAAGAGAACATCATTCTTTGATCTATCATGGGTCAATCTCCCCTCTTTCTTCAGAAGGTGGATAGATCACAGACCCCAAACCAAGGGAACAAGTGAGGCAGAGGCTTTGTGAAAGACAAGGTCTCTCCTGGCCTCAGAACATTAGAAGCAAACCACCCAGAAGCCTGCCAAGCAACTGAGGAGTTTTTAATCATTGTTTCTCTCTTCTGGGGAGAAAAAAAAGAGTCATTTGTAGCCTGGCAACAAAGATCCGTGTGTTCTTCCCCCATGCCAAGCTGTAAACACAGCCTCCCTCAGCTTAGCATAATGATGCTCGCAGGCCACAACCAGGATGTCTTGGGGTGGCACAAGAGGGCTGCAGACACAAGGTGATGCCAGCAGGCTGGGGTGTGTGTTGGAGGAGCTGGCAGAGCAATGGGGCCTGTGAGCTTTGGGACCCAAGAACTTATCAGAGAGCTTTATACTTCCCCTGGCACAAGGGCTCCCGGCAGGCACAAAGCAGTGTCTCCTGTTAGGCAGCTGGGGGGTTGGGAGCCCCGGTGGCATAGGTGTGCTGTGGAGAGGGTGTGCTGCGGGTGTCCCCTGGGCTGGATGAGCCTTCCTCTCCCCACTGCTCAGCCATTTTTCCTCTCGCCCTCTGCCTCTGTCTTCTTCCTTGATGCAGGTAAACACCTTCATCTCAAGAGCCATCCTGGACTCAACTGGTTGCAGAAAACTTCTTTTGAGGCAAAAGAAGAAATAAGACAAGAAGCACTCATTTGGAAGTGAGTGTGCCCCCACTGCTCAGCACTCCCATATCAGGATTAGATAAAGTAGAGGTTAAGGATGTGGACCTGGAGTCCAGTTTCCTGGATGTGAATCCTACGTACCAGTGGAATGGCTGTGGCAAGATAATTCCCATTGCAAACTTATATGTCTTAAGACCAGGAAGTCTTCTCCTTAGTGCTAAAATGATGACAACCATTGTTATTATTATTATTATTATTATTATTATTATTATTGTTGTTGTTGTTATTATTACTCTTTCTAAAATACTTGACAGCAGGCAAGTAACATTGACATTATAGCTATTACTTCAAAATAATGTGGCTGTGGTCAAGTCATAGATTTCGCTTTCTTTCCTCAGGTAAGCTGAAAAGTTTAGCTGAAATACAACACTGAATCCATTTAGCCGAATTCCTGGCATCATGTTAGCCCTATATATTTAAAAATGGGGCTGGTGTGGTGACTCAGTGCCAGGGTATTTGCATGGCACATGTGAGGCCCTGGCTCTATTCTCAGATCTGAAAAAAAAAATTTAAAATTGTCTCTGGGTTCTGTCCGAATGCAGGAAAGAAGGCATGCCTCCCTTCCAAGCTGCTGTACATTGCAGATAGACAGATACTCAAAAGGATGTATGTGGGGGGCTAAGAGCATATCCTCATAAATTGCTTGCTCAGCAAGAAGGGAGGAAAAGCAAACAGGCACAGTTAGCCAGGGGTGATGCAGACAGGAGCATCCTGAGGACAAGCCGACACCATGAACTCCTTGTTCTGCTGCACTCAGAAAGATGCAATTGTGTGCTGTCAGAAAACTGTGATCCTGTCAGAAAACTGCAACCTGGGAAATGTATAAGGCCAACTGAGGGGTCCTCTCTCTGTGCAGGGATCGGTCAGTGAAGAGATAAAAGGAAAAAGGCTGAAGAAGAGCTATGGACCAGAGGAGACCACAGAGATGTGATGCCTGAATATAATGTGTAAAGCTGGGCCAGTTGACGGGACCCAGGACTGGGAAACATGGCACAACCAGATTACTTGGACAACAGGTAAAATTAGAACAGGGTGTGCAGCCTAGATCGTGTTGGTATATTATTTTAGTGTTTAATTCGGAACACAGCTGTATCATATATAATTATATGCAAATATATATAAAATTTTCTGAACCATATTTGTTCAAAATGTATTGTACACAAGGGTTGGTGTTTTATGATTATGTATACCTAATTTTCTGAAATACATGTGTATGGGCATGTATATGTAAATCCACAGTCGTGCAGTGAGAGAGAAAGAGATGAAAAGAATATGTCTCAGCTCTGTTATTATGTAAAAGTAATAAAGCTACCACCATTCTTCTGGCCCTTTCCGAGTTTGCCCATTTGGGGAGATGAACTGAAACCTTACAGAGTGTAGTTTCTTGGCTCAGCATAGACTCCTGAGATCCATGCATGTTGCTGGGTAGAGAAGTGGTTTGCTCATTTTCATGGTTGCATAGAATTCTGTTGCTCCTATACCCACTTCCATGTATATGAGTTGTTTCCTCTTTTTTTTTTTTTTTTAATAGTTTTGAATGCTGTGGCAGAGACCATACATACATGCTTGTGTGTTGGTTCGTAGGAACAGAGCTGTTAGCTTATCTAGCATGCAAATATGCAAATATCCCACATTAGCGGATCCTGACAACTTCCCAAATTGATTGGGCCATTTTTTTTTCAACTTCCACCAGCAGTGCTGAAGCATTCCAGCTGCACTGTACCCTTGCCAACACTTAGTCTTGTCAGCCCGTGGAGTTTAACCGTTCTAAAATGTGTATCTTAGGACAGGCTCAGTTGACATATCTCTACTGCCTACTGAAGCTGAGTTCCTTCTGTCTGTTGGCCATTTAGGTATGTGGTTTTGTGGAGGCACCATTCCAACCTTTTGCTCATCTTCCTGTGAGCTGTCACGTCTTATTGATTTGGAAGGCTCTTTATATATTCTGAGTAGAACTCCTTTGTCACACGCACTGACTGAGGATGTCCTCTCTTGTTCCGTGATTTGCTTTGCCAGTTCTTCACGATATTTCTTGGTAAGTTTTAATTTAATACAAATTATTAGGGTCTCCCCCTCCCCAAATCCTACACTTTAACCTTTATAATACTCTTAAAAAATTAAACTAAAGAGATCATGGGATATAAATCAGGTGGATCCTACTTCTAGATCCTAGTTGGAAGGGTCCTGGACAGAGGGTCCACAGTCAAACCCCATGATCTCCCTTTTGCTTGGGTCCTTAAGGGGAGGAGGTGCTTGGGGACACTGGCGTGAGAAGTGGTGAGGCTCATTGGCACCTAGGATTCTGAAAGTCCAGCCTACTCTGCTGACTGCTATCACAGGGTTACACAGCCCTTTGTCCAGGGGCAGGTACAGTCCTGAACAGAGAGAGTGCTCTGAGGGACAGAGATGCAGACATGGAAACAGTATTTCAGTTCAGGTCACAGGCAGTTGTGAAGGTGGCCTCCGACGGTAACCATCACTCTGCTAGGAACTTGGAGAGAGAGAAAGTCAGCAATGGTGTCCCAGAGGAGGGGACTGTTAATATGGGTTCTGTTGGCTGTGTAGGAGCCTTCCAGACAGCCAAGGAATAGAAGAGCATTTCAGACAGACAAATACTCAGAGACCTGCAGGAGCTGGAGACTTAGTAAACTGCCATGTAGAGTGAGATTTGAGAAAAGGACCAGCCATTTCCCATCCCAACCTCCCCACGTGAAAGGAGGAGATTTGAATCCACAAAGGCCTGGCTAACATGTCCTAGTGCTGGTGATGATGGACAGGCCCTGTCACTGTGTCTGTCATACAGACAGAGATGGGGGAGGGGTTGGGGCAAGCAGTCTGGAAGGTCCTGTAGAGGAGGTGGCCCTGAGGCTGGCCAGTACCTCTGTCTTTCAGCTGCTGTTTCTGGGTGAGCACAGGCCTGCACGACCCCGTCTTTCCATGTGGATGAAGAGCCGTGGAGCACTGAGCAGTCCAGACTCCCAAGTGACTTTAATGGAGTTTAATTTCAACTGTAGATTTTGAAGCAGCTTGGGGAATTTAGAGATAAGACCAGCTCTGGGGAGGCAGGAAAGGAGGTAGAGCTCAGAAGACACCAGCTACCTTCTCTCTGAGGAACTCCTGTCCTGAACTCAAAGTCTGACGCAGACTCCCACACTCAAAGCAGCCATTAGAGGATCTGTGTGGCCAGAGATGTGCTATCTCCTAAGGAGACAGGGAGGGGAGTGGCAGCCCCTGTGGGCTCTTTGAGCTCAGTCCTCACTAACCTTGGGGGCTTTAAGTTGTCCACCGATGCTGGGACACACAGGGTGCGGGCCTTCTCTGCCCCTCTGGGTTTTCAGGGGTGACCCAGGCCATACACATACGGGGGTGGGGGGGAGGGGACACAGACATACATGGGCATAGACACACACAGACAAACACACAAGAGGGACACATATACACACAGACACACAAAGGGTCACACACACAGACATAAACACAGATAGACACACCAAAGGGACACACACACACATATGGGGGATAGGGTGGGATCACACAGACATATACAGGCACAGACACACACAAGAGGCACACACACACACACAAAGGGTCATACACACTGAATCACATACACAGATACACACACACATACAAAGGGACACATACACACACAGATACACACACAGGGTGGAGGGACACACACACAAATATACACAGGCACTGACACACAAGAGGGACACAGACAATACATGGACAGACAGACAGACAGACACACAAAAGGTCTCACACACAGAGAGACATATACACAGATAGACACACAGAGGGACACATACACACAGACACAGACGGACACACAGAAACAGACACACACACAGACACACACACACACACAGACACACACACACACACAGAAACAGACACACACACACACACACACACACACACACACACACACACCTGCACTCTACGCTGCTAACCAGGGACCCTCTAGCCAGTCCTTCAGTGGTTCCATCTTTGCTGAGTGGACCCCTAACAGCCCACAGGCTCTGCCTCCCCTCTTCTCCAGGCTTCTTGCTTCTGTATCACCCGGCAGTTGCCTGCTGCTCGGGTACCCTCCTTGGCCTTGGAAACGGGAGAAAGCTGTGGTACTCCTGGCTCTCATTAGACCTTAGACTGGGCCATGCGCCTGATTCCCAAAGCCGTATCTCCTGAAGTCTTGGGTCACTTTGTGTCAGCAAAGCATTGGAGTGGGATAAGTGAACTCCTGCACAGGTGACAGACACTCAGGTGTCCGCGTGCCTTAGATCGGAGCCTGGGGGGAGGGGGGCGCTGTTGGCACAGCTGCAAATGAAACCTCCAAGCCTCAGTTTTGCCACCTGCAAAGAGGGATGCATACCCAGCTCTTAGGTTTACTGAGTTACTGAGTCCTGTAGGGCGGGGGGGGGGGGGGGCCTCTAGATGCCTACTCTGTCACTCAGTAGGTATTTTGCATGGACCTGTGCGGGGCCTGTCTAGAGTCAGGAGCACAGAAGGTTCTTTTTTTGTACCTGAGTTCCTTTTCCCTTTCTCTTATCCAAAGAGATCCCAGAGACCCCAGGAAGGAGCCTGCATTATTTTCCACAGGCCAGCACTGCAGGGAAATTGTGGCTGAACTTTGGTGCGACTGCTCCCAGGAACAAGTGTGCAAACCCACACCTTAGGACCGTGTGGTCAGGTGTGGCATCCTGGGGTGGGAGTAAGACTCCAACTTAGCAGCCAGCTGTTGGGTAGTAATAAGGCAGGGGAACAGCCACAGATTCCTTAAAAGTCTGAGCCCTCAGCCAGCTCCTCACCAGGGGGGCAAGGTCTGGCTTGAGCTCAGCATGGAGAGTTCAGGCAGGTTCCAGCATAAGCAGGCTGGTGTGTGTGTGTGTGTGTGTGTGTGTGTGTGTGTGTGTGTGTGTGTGTGTGTGTGTGTTGGGGGGGGCAGACATTAGGGCAGAAGGTAGGTGAGCCAGATCACAGTTCTCGGACACCTATACAGACTTATGTGGGCACAGAGAGGCAATTGGACTCACAGAGCGGTGGTGGAGTGAGGTAGGGTGAGGTGGTAGGTAGGAAGCAGAGAAGAAATTGCCTTATAGCCTGGGCCCTGAACTTTTAGTATACTACTTGGCCCAATTCTCTCTGGCCCATTTTATAGATTAGGAAACTGAGGCTCAGTGAGGTCCATGTCTTGTTTAAGAGTACCTAGGAGCAGAGGTGTGATGAGAACCCACCTTGACCACCCAACTCTGGCCCCACCTGCTCAGTAAGTATTTTCTCAGCCTCCTAAAAATCTGGACACTGAGTCCAAACCTGAGACAGTTCACATGTAGAGATGTGGTATAAACAGAATCAGGCCCTGCCCTTCCCCTAAACTTCTTATTTATCTGGACTACAGAGAACTGCACCCAACGTTTTGTTATTTAGCTGACATATCAGTATTTCTTATGTAAGGTGGGGTAGGGGAGGACCCCTCACCTCTGACCCTCAAAGAACTTGAGCATGGTCAGCAGATGCTTCTAAAGGGTGGTGTGGTGGAGAGAAACTCAGAGAAGTGTGAGGAGGAGCCAGGGAGCAGGAAGTATTAGGGTCAAGACCAACCAGCTCTGGGTCCAAATGGGGCCATCCTTAGCTGATTGACAGGCCCGTGGGTGCATGCTCACCTCACCCAGAATCGCCTGACGCCTGTATGGTGTCCCAGAGCCTGACCCGACCACTTGCCTGCTTCCACCGGCCCTTGTTGCAGGAACCACAGGCTGGCAGGGGCCCTGGACTTAGAAATCCCAGGTGGATCCAGATCAGAAGCAGGAAGACAAAACATTTTCAAGGCTGTTCCCTAGCAACCCGAGCTGCTGGCCACAGCTGCAGGTCCAAAGCTGATGCCCTTCCATCCATTTGTGGGAGGCATCGGTTTTAGGTGCTTGGAGGTGCTCCGGGAGGCTTCTTAATGTCCCTCCAATGATCCAAGAAGCCATTTGCTTAGAAAACCTCCCTCCTCCCCTTCCCCTCCCTCCTCCCACCCCCACCCCATCAGCCAGCTCTGAGAGCACCGTGAATATTGCAGCAGAGCACCAAACGGAACCCCGGGTGGCGTGTGGAACAAAGCCTTAGATCCATGGCAGCGGCAGCAGTGTGGGGTGACTTTCTCGGTGGCGGTGGTGATGGCGATGCTGCCCACCCTGGGCTGCACTGGGAGGGGGTGGGAGGGAAAGATTGGAACCAGAAGACAGGATGCAAAACAAGCCCAGTGCCAAACAGAGTGGAGGGGGAGGGGAGGGGGGAAGGAGGAAGGGGAGGAAGCAGAGCAGGGGAGAAGGAGGAGAGAGGCCACTCATTTATTTATTATGATGCCAGTTGTAGCGTTGGTCTCATGTGTGGGGAGCAGACTGTATTTTATGTTTTAATCCTCCAAGCTGTGTGTGTGGGCTGGGGATAATTACATTGAAAAATGTGGCTAATATGCGGAAGGCTCTTTTTGTGGGGACGGGAATGCTTCAGTGGAATATCTTCCTCGTGGCAACCGAGGCCTTTTCCATAAGCGGCTCAGAAGGTGCCAGTAATTGGGAGCACGATGGAAACCCGCACCCTGCCCCGCCCCCCGCCCGCAGGCTCAGTGCTCTTCTGTTATAGTGAGTCCTGGAATCCGAGGAGGAGAGGGACTACTGCACTCCCCCCACCCACCTGCCACACCACCAGCCCCTGTGGGTGACAGACGGGACACAAATGGAAGGTCTGATTGCTTTCTCGGCTGCAGCCCTAGCGCCTCCACTGCTGAAGACGGCAGGAGGGAGGTATTCCGTCCCCTCGCTCATACACACGGCCACCTATCTGTCCACGCATGAAACACACATGCCGTATACTCACACATTCCCACACAGTCCACACGAACATCCACTCATTCACACACACCAACACCTGGACTTGCTCATGTCCTCTCATATATCGCACTCGTGCATGCACACATGTATGTGCTCACGTGCCACACATAACCACGCACACCCATCCATGCAGCCTATGTGCATACACATGCAGATTTACACACACTTACATAGTTTACCCACTGTGATACATGTGTGTCCGAAAACTTTTTAGGTGCTCTCTCACGCACACCCTCATCTATATTCATATCCACGTCAGCATGCACACTACAGCTTGCACGGGCTGATGTTTGTGAAGGGCTGTCAGAAATATTGCCAGGGACATTTTTATTTGGAATTTTAAAAAAATTGACATCTGCCTCCCTTAAAAGGCCACACAAAAAAAAATCTCCATTCCTGCCATCCTGGAAGTTTGTTTTTTAGCACACAGGCCTTGGTGACTGTGCGGCTCTTTAATACAAGCCACATGGCCGGTGTGCAGACTTTTCCCTGGCTCATGCGTTCTGCTCATTTGATGCCTGTTTACTCAGAAACTGCAGATCCAGTGGAAAAAACACCCCAGCCTGCTGCAGTGCCAATTAGTCCCTCTTCCCACGGTGGGCCAGCCTCCCTACCGGAGGAGATCCACAGGGCGGACAGTGAGGTCCTTAGTGAGGCTGGCTGTGATGAATAGGGCTTGGCTTCCCTGGGGACTTGGCGGGTTATTTTGTAGAAAATTGAATTTCTTGGTAAGTTAGAAGACGTGCTAATGAGTACTAATGTGGGGCCAGGAGGGCTGGGGTGGGCTCAGGCGTGGGCATCAGCTGGGTCAGCTCTACTTCTGCCTCTGGGACTCCCAGCTCTACCCACCTGCTGCCTCCTCCTGGTTCAGGTTCGATTCTACCCACCAGCATACTATTTGCCCCTGGTACTGCCCTAGCCCTCGTCCAGGACATCCTGTATCCCCTAAGTCCACAATGACCCTAAATTGTCCTTTCTTTCTCTGAAGCACTTGAGACTACTCATGCTTGCAGAATTGGGCCAGAGTTAGTAGTTGTTCAGCCTGGTGCCGTGGGTTGGAGCTCTTGTCTGGAAAGTTTTTTCATCGGACACCTGAATAACTCATTTACTACTTTGCTAAGGTGTTTTGAGATGCCTTTCCAGTGAAGCCAGTCCTGCCCATCCTCCACTGAGTTCCTGGCTCACCCTTGTCACCACCAGAGCGCTGAGCATGTCCCATGACAGTCAGCTGTGGAAAGGCACACGCCAGGGTCCTGTGGTGCTGTATCACTTGTAGCCAACACAAGATCCCATGTGGGGAAGGAAGCCATCCCACTATTGTCTGCTAAAAAGTGAATGAGAGAGACACATGTCCAGATCCCACCCTCCACCTGGTCATCCCTCTGCCTCTCAAGTGCTGGGATTAAAGACATACTCTGATTAGCTGGGTGTAGCAGCCCACGCCTTTAACCCCAGCACTCAGGAGGCAAAAGCAGGCAGATCTGTGTGAGTTTGAGGCCAGCCTGGTCTACAAAGCAAGTTCCAGGCCAGCCCGGGCTACTCTGTAGAGTGAGATGCTGTCTCAAACAAAACATAACAAAACACAAAAAAAACCACACACTGATGTGCTTAGTAAGTATTCGTGTTTATGGTTGCATTGTTTGTGAATCCATTGTATAACAATCAAATCGGGGCAACTAACATCTCTATCCCCTCATATACCGGCCAATTTGTTATAGGTAGAACACTCAAAGACCTCTCTTGTGGTGGTTTTGAGATATACAATGTTATTATTAACTATGATCATCCAACTGTACACAAAACCAGCGAACACAAAAACTCACTTTGCACTAGGAACTCTCTTTGCTTTGCTGTCTGAATGTGTTATATATAGACTCAGCATCACCTTCTCATATTTTTGGTTCTTTTTTTTGAGGGGGGAAGGAATTTTTTTAAAGGATTTACCATGTGTTTTATTTTTCTTTTGATGGGGGAGTACATGAACATACACATGTATGTGTGTTCATGAGAGAGAGAGAGAGAGAGAGAGAGAGAGAGAGAGAGAGAGAGAGAGAGAGAGAGAGAGAGAATGAATTAGAGTTTGGAGTCCAGCAGTTAAAGTCAGGCGTCCTCTCTATTGCTCTCCACCTAATTTTGTGAGTCTTTCACCAGACTTGGTGTTCACCAGCTTGCTTAAGTCCACTGAGCTCTGGGCATCCTCCTGTATCCACTGCTCCTGTTCTGGGATTACAGGCGCACAACCACAGCACACTGCCTTTTACGAGTGTGCTGGATTTGAACTCGGTCCCTCTGCTTGCACAAGTGCTTTACTGACCTCGCCATCTTCCCAGCCCCTTGTCACGCATTTTTTAAGTGTTTTCAGATGTATGTGTTTCTATGCCAAGATCACGGCAATAGTGCCACCTCCATTGGATAGATGGGCAAGTTGAGGCTTAGAGAGGCAGAATGACTCACCTGGCTCGCACAGCCGCTGTGGGCAGGTACCTTTGCCAGATCCTCACCCTGGGATCTCTTTTCCCTAGCCAGCATCCGTTCTTCACAATCTATCCAGGCCGTGACTGAAGTGTGGACAAGAAAAAAGAAGGGCCCCTAGCCAGCCATGGCATGTCACCACACTGACACACAGAAGTTTTTCACTGAAGACTGGGTCTGGAATCCAGCACCTCGACCATGTGACATTGGGCATACATTTTTCTCTTTCTGCCTCTGTGTCCATAGCTATTAAATGGGTTTGTACCCTCCCTCTAGGGATGTGAGACACTAGCTCATTTTTTCCTAACCCCCTAGATCAGTGGTTCTTAATCTGTAAGTCACGACCCCTTTGGGGGTCTCATATCAGATATTTATATTACCATTCCTAACAGTAGCAAAATCACAGGTATGAAATAGCAAGGAGATAATTTTATGGTTGGGGGGGGTGGTCACCACAACATGAGGAACTGTATCAAAAGGTCTCAGCATCAGGAAGGTTGAGAACCCTGCCTTAGATAATAATCTTCCTGAAAGTGATTTGTGAATTCCCAGCCCAGGACAATCCATTCCCTTTTGCCACCACCCAAGCTTACTTTTGTGCCAGCTTTGGACCACTCCGCCCTGCAAACCTCCACACAGCAGGATATTCTTAAGAAGCTACCCTTCAGCACAAGCAGCAACCCCCTCCCTTGAATGTGGCTACTGGGTTTCAGGAGCAATGGGGGGATTCCGCCAGCCCCGCAAAAAGAGAAATGTGGGGAGGTGACGGTCAATCAGACACAAAACGAAGCGTGCCTTGCAGGGAAAGCTGCAGGTGCCGTACAGGCTGGGGTGGGGGCAGTAGCTGGAGCAGCTTGTTGGGGGGAGGGGCTGACAAAGGATCATCGCCCCCTGCAGGGAGAAGGTGCTGGACCCTAAGGTGGAGGCTAGTGGGACATACGTGCTTCTGTCCCCCCCCCCCCCCCCGCGTTCAGTTATCTCGGGAATGCCTCCGCTTCGCTGCACAGTCTCCATCCCTGAGCCTGGATCCTGCCAGCGTTTATCTGCAGCAGCTTCACAGCTACAGCAGAGCAAACAAAGGCAGAGAGGTGCTGCTGCAGACAGCGCAGCCACCGCGGCTGGGAAACAGGGCTGTCTGTACCTGTCATCTCATTAATCTTGTACCTCTGCAGCCCTTCTGAAGAGTGCACTCACAGCGGCCCATTCATTAGGACTCTCACAACAGCGGCAGCGGCGGCGGCGGCGGGCACGGAAGTGCCAGGCTGGGGAGGAGCCGGCCCTCTGTAGCTGCACAAAGCCAATACTTTTTTAAATACATTTACATGGCAATAAATAAAAGCGGTCTCAGTTTACCTCGGTATTAAACTCTATTTGCGCGTCAGAGTTAAGGGCCGCATTTGTGTCTCGCTATTCAAATTTATTCTTGTGCGGCTCCGAGCCCGGCTGCATTTATTTCATCATGTAGTAATGGTGGCTGAAGCTTAAGGGGCCTTTCATCACCAAGCCGCCCTCATTAAGGGCTCTGCTCCAGGCTCCTGGGCTCAATTCGGCCACCATGAAGACCACCCCCATTAACCAGAGGGAAGGGCAATGCAGGGAACTGACAGGCCTTCATTAGCCTCCCCTGGCAGCTGGCTGGCCAGGAGCCAGGGGCTAGTGAGGTCCATGTCTCCCAAACTCTCACACAGAGACATGATTCCCTAAAGGTGTGGATACATCTGTCTTCTGCCTGCCCTTCCCCCATTTACAATACTGAGTTCTGCAGGCATACTAGAACAAGCTAGACTCTGAGAAGGCAAAGATCCAGTCAAGATTATTCTGACCTTGGATGGCTTGTTTCAAGGCCGCATTCTGCAGGTCGGTTTGGAGGCATTGCCACCCTTGGAAATTTGGTGCAACCACTGTGGGCGATTTCCTGCCTCCACAGGCAGGGTAGAGTTCAGCAGGTCCCTCTGCCTCCCTTCAGGGGCTCCCGGACTAGGAAAAAGAACACTATAGATGTTCACGCACAGTGACTGGGACTCAATCTCGGGCCTGCAGCTTGTGGCACGTGCCCAGGGGCCTTCTGATGTTAGTGACCCAAAGCTCCAGAGTTTCAAAAGCTTCAAACATTCTCCTTGGGTTGAGGCCAAGGCAAGTGGGCACATGGTACCAGCTGGCCATAACCAGAAGACCCTCCTGTGTAGGGTAGAACTCTGTGTAGGTGACAAGCACAGGGTTAACATATGTGGGGGGGGGGAGGGCTACATGTGGCCTGCGGAGGCAAGAAGTCAACTCATAGCGTCATTCTTCAGGAGCCCTCTACCTTCCTTCTTTGAAGCAGAGGCTCTCCCTTGTACTTGAAGCTTTACAATTTTAGCTGTGCTGACTGGCCACAGACTCCCAGGGAGCGGTCTGCCTCTCCCTCCCCAGTGTTGGACTTGCAAGCTCAGGCCCAAACCATAACCTTGGGTGCTAGGCATCCAAACTCAGGTCTTCATGCTCGCCCAGGAAGCACTTTAGTGACAGTTTCAGGGTCTTGCAACAGCACATGAATAGAGCCCCAAGAAGGTGTCCTTAGGGTGCCTGACCTGTGGATCCCAGTATCTGTGTCAAACATTGGGGTCTTATTCCCAAGCTCTTGGTGACGAATTCTCAGATTCACCTGGGGAGTTCTTTCTACTGTGGGTCATTTGCGCCAAGCCACGGAGACCTACTTGGAGGAGGCTGCGTCCACCGGAACAGCATAGCTCAGTGGTTCTCAACCTGTGGATCACACTTCACAGGGGTCACCCAAGACCTTCAGAAAACACAGGTGCTTGCATTATGATTCATAATGGTAATTTGAAAATAATGAAATAAATAAATGAAAATAACTTTGTGGTTGGGAGTCACCACAACATGAGGAACCGCAGTCAAGTATTAAAGGGTCACAGTGTCAGGAAGGTTGAGAACCACTGGCATCACCCCAAGGAACAGAAAGACTGTCCCTACACATGAGTGGGAAAGGTGGGCACAGAGAAGTTGTCTGCCTTGCCAAAGGCTGCACAGCTGGTCAGTATTGCAGTTCAGAGACTCCATTCTGGCTCTTCATCACTACACGGCGGAAGCAGTATCCATAGTTACATGACCGCAGCTGGTCTCCAGACCTCCGAAGTAATCTTGCAGGAGGAAGTGAGGGACCCTCTATATGTTCATAGGATTATAGGAGCCCCGAGATCCTACAGCTGGTAATAGTTCCAAATTTTGCAAGCTATGGTAGTCTTTCTCCAAGATTGTCTATGCATCCTGTCCCTGCCTTTCCCCATGCATCTCCTTCTGGGCAGAGAATGATGAATGGCAGGTGCCCAGAGGTGAGGGTTCTGACTCAAGCCTCATGACTTCTGCATGCCAGGCTCTGGGCAGGTCTGGTCACCTGTAGAGCCTGTTGGAGTCAAGCATGAGCCTGCCATGATTGCAAGTCCCGATGCAGCGATTTCTTAAGAAAAAAGAGCCCAGGCCCTTGTAGTCTGAGGTTGATTATGGATCCTACTTACCATCTTACATCTCTGTTCCTCCAGGCCAGTGGTGTCACCTCTGCAGACCTCACTGAAGAAAGGCTGAGAAACACACTTCGCATACCACACAGGGGCTCTGTAACGATGGGACTTGCAGGAGGTGCTCAACACTTAGCAAACAAGAGGTGTGCCACACCTACAATAAATGCAGGGATCTAGTTCCCTTCCTTCATTGGCTCCTGGGCTGCTATGGAGTAGATGAGTCGCCTTCTGTCTGTCACAAAACACTTGAGACACTAGTCTATACAGAGAAAAGGGTTCATTTGGCTCATGGGTTTGGGTTTTGGCCCATGATTGATGTGTCCCACTGCTCTTTGCCTGTGGGGAGGATGCTCATCAGGGTGGGCCTGCATGACATAGCAAACTGTCCACCTCGTGTCTGGGAGGCGTGATTCTCTGGAAGGCCATGACCTCAGTGAACTAGGAATCTAGGAGATCCCTCCTCTCAAAAGTCCCACCATCTCTCAGCATCACAGAGCGGGGGCAGCCCACCCAAGGGCTGACAGCAACAGAATTCTGCTGCCATCCAGCCATGCTAAGAGTGCTGCATGGCCAGAGAGCCTGGTTGCCCAGCCCTCTAGCCTCTTCCTGATAACAGGGCAGTAGGCAAAGCAGACATGCTCATCGGCTAGCCAAAGTTTATTCGCCAGCTTCTTTCTCCCATGTGTCTTGGAAATCAAAATTCTGGCTTTCCCGGGTGTTTTCCAAGTTCTAGGTGGTTACTGAAACAAGTTTGGACAATGGGGCATGGTTAATTTCTTTTTCCAATCTTTGGGGTGAAGGGTGTACTTCTGGAAGAGATTTTGTGTGTGTGGGGGGGTAGCGATCGATCTCTGGAGGGTCTTGACTGAGGACTTCATCAAGGCGAATCAGATTGTGTGCACTCTAATAGGTGCAATTTGTTATACGTCGCTTCTACCTTGGAGATGTTTCTAAACACTGCCAGGGGTTCCTGGCTGAGATTGACTTTCCTAACAAGAGCTATCTCCTCCATGGGAGGTGCTTGCCCTGGCCTCTTCACCTGCATGGAGGCAGGTGGATGTCTGCTGCAGCCTGGGTGGCCATTTAACCATCACAGAACAAATGAGTCCTCAAGGAAGTGGGTTCTAAACCCAAGCTGAAGTCACTTTCTTGTGATAGGAAGAAAATGAGCTGCTTGTCGAAATCTCTGTCTGTGAGGCTTCTGGTTCCTTGAATCCTAAAGACTCCTATGGAAACCTGGGTGTTTGATCTGTATTTATTGGCTAAGCCAGTAAAGCTAGAAGAGAGGCCAGATCTCCACAGCTGGAGGCCAGGAAGGCTTTTCATGTGAAGAGTAGACATGGTGTTGGAAGAAGCGAGTGAGATTTTGCTAGTTCTGGGCATGGAGGGCCACAGGAATGGGAGCCATAATGGCATGTTGTCCTCAGGATAAGCCCCCTGTTACACGTGGAGGCAGACTTTCCACCCTCCCTCCATCTTGGCTAATAAGCCAGCTCATATTTTGCTTTCCTCCCCACATTATTTTTCCCCCGGTGACAGAAAATTACATCTGACAAGTGGCAATTGATCTCTCCATGTTATTTTGAAGCAATTATACTGAAATGGGAAACAATGCTTCCAGGAAAAAGGGCCGATAGCAGACTAGCACACAAAGCTTCCTCCAAGACAGATAGGGGAAGCCAATTTGTCCCACATCGAAACTGACCAAATTTTCTTCCCCTGAAATTTCATTTAATTACTGCCTGGAAATCTTCAAAGATAACTCCTGCTTCAACCTAAGGTGTGGAGGGCATGCTAGAGTCCTTGGGTGCCCTCTAGAGGGTCTGGGGTCCCTGGGCTGGCCAGGGTACCTCCAACAGTTAACTTTTGAATGCCTATACAACAAGAGGGGAATCTATGGACACGTGACTGAAACACAAGTCAACTTCTGCAGGAAGCACAGTGTGCCGATCCTTCAAACTCAAGAATTAGCAGAGGAAAGCCCATTCCCACAGCTCCAAAGTGTGGGCTTCGGCGATCATAGCGGAATGTTGCTGAAATTTAAACAGAGCTACACCAGACCTATGCCTGCTTTCCTCTGACGGGACGCCAAAGCACCATTGCAGATTTATTGTTGGTTTGTTTGTTTCTGAGATGGAGTGTCAAGTACAACAAGCTGCCTTTCACCTTGAACTTCTGATCTTCCTGCCACTACCTCCCCAGTGCAGTCACATTTATGTGGCGCTGAGAATCAAACCTGGGGCCTCAGGCATGCTAGGCAAGCACTCTACCAGCGGAACAGCCTCATCCCTCACTGCAGTTTTAAACATAAGGTTTAAAGCTGGCAGAAGTGAAGATGCCACGTTACATCAGTGGCATAACACAGCCCTTGCTTTGTGCAGATTTACACCTGTAATTCACGTAGGATGACAGCTGGTAGGTCACAGCCGCACTGTGAATTTTTCCTGCTTCTTCTGGGAGGGTAGGAGTTGACAGTTCCCCATCATGCCTCTTCCCTGGAACCTCAGCAGCATCCATTCATGCCTGTGCCACCATGCCACAGGGCCTCACCTCATCAGGGCCACATGGCTGGAGTTGCCCCTTGTCTATATACCTGCAGCATACCTATAAGAAGAACAGGATATCTGACAATGTAGTCACCATGGGGGAAAGTATCAGCTAGTCCCTCAGTCCTCATCCTCTGTTGCCCACTGGGGTCTCAAGAGGAAAGGTGAAAAATCTCCATATCCAGGTCTATCTGAGACCCGTGAAGCCGAGTCCAAGGTGCATCACTGTGGTGAAACCATGACACAAGCCAGCTTTC